TTGTTTATTTGGATGGGTAGTTGTATGGTGGATTCTACTGCCCTGATAATGGAGAATAAAACAATTACAAATGATGTAGATGTTGTGAACTGAATGTTATTTTGCATATGATCACCGATCAGTTATGATAAACTGTGCCCTCATTTTATTTCCGTATGATGGTCAAATGCTGTTTCATCACACTGTCAGGGTAACATTCGGATGAGGAAATACTTTACTTTCCTCTGTTGTGAAACTCTATAAACGATCCTTCATGTGTTTAATTTTAGAACACAAGGTTACTCCAGGTCCCTAAAAGGACATATTATTTGTAAAATACAGCTGACACCACCAAAGTGTTATTTATACGTTCCTCTCGTTGAATACATCAGTACATGACAATCAGTCTTGTTTTCAGGATGTCTTTATTCCTCTCTGGGACCCCTGTGATCCACATGCTGTCCAGCAAATTGAAGTCAGTTTGAGCTCTGCTCATGTTTAGACATGATAACATACAGCAGCTTCTCTAATAAATATTATTATCACTTAAGTATTTTCATTCAGAATGAGGACATTGGCTCTGTGCAGTGTTTTTTTCACTTCAGCTACATTTTGTGGACAGTTTGCCAGTGAAAAGTAATCAAAATGAAGTGACAGAGGAATTTAGGAAATTACACTATAGGTCAAATTAGTTTTGACAAAGATCAAGGGTTAATTATGACAGAAACATCCAGCGGGTGGAGCAAAACTGATGCAATGCCCTGCAACTCTCAGATAAGTTGCAAGTTTTGATTGCATTCCCTCTCTACTCAGAAACATATACATATATATATATATATATATATATATATATATATATATATATATATATATATATATGTATATATACATTTTAAGATCATAATGTCTGTAAAGTTCCACATAAAAATATCCATCATTTAGCATCATTTAATAACCAGAATGAATGTAGCATCTCAGCAGTAAAATTTGAATTTTATTCTCAGACAGGGACCAAGGCTATTCTTATAGAACTTAATTTATTTGATATATTTGATACCTGATACAATAGCTCAGTGCTTTCAGTAATTTGACAAATGACACACACCAAGTAAATAGTCTAGAATGAAAATTAGCATTTGATAGAATACTTGTAGACTATTATATTCAAACTTAATTCATCACATAAATGTATTGCTTCATACCATGGTAGTGGTGTGGCAAAATTCCAGCAACTGAGCCAAAGTACAATGTCAATGACAACAACTTTGCAGTTTTTTAACACACACATCACAAGTTGCTTTGCTCATATGTGGGAGACGCTGGCTGAGGAAAGTTGTTGGCATCCACCTCAAGGCTTTTAATCTCAGTCGCTTCAGCAGAGTCCCGCCTTAGTAAAACTGGCACGGGACGCACTCAGCCTGGGGGTAGGGTAGGCTCAGCTGAGAAACTGGGAGAAAAATAAACAAATGAGAAAGGACTGCCACCACTCTCAGGCTGCCTATGGGATAGCCTCCAACCGGCTGGTGAGAGCAGTTTAATGATGATAGTGGATGGGAGAGATGGGAGAGGGGGAGGAGTCCGAGCACCAAGTTGCATGTTTTTTGCTCTGGTGTCTTGTGTCACTCTTTTCTCTAAGGGAGGGGGAGGGGGGCATCCAAGTCACATGGTTGAGCTCGATCTGTTACGTAAACACAGACCTCCACGGCCCCTAGCCAGCACGCATCAACTTTGTTCAGTAAATCCATGTGGATAAAACTCTTGCGTTGACATTGGTGGCGGCCAAGGAGAGTTGTCGAGATCTTCACTCCTCCGCGCTGCATCGCACTTGGCGATGCTGCAAACCCTCACAGCTCCCAGTGACCTCTGAAAATGTCTGGGACTTAGACATCGTGTCATTAAAACATTTGTGCAATTGAAAACATGGGTCGTACATGAATGATATGATTTGTACAGTGAGTTCTCACGTGCACAACAATCATTAATGTCATTTTGTCAAGTACAGTGAGTGTGCCAGTGTGTTCATTTGTCAGCCGTCATGTTAGATTTTGTTTGATTTGTGTTGCAGATGCTTCCATAATTTTAAAATACTTAAATTTGACTCTAAATATAACTTTAACCTTATGAATATTAAACACTGTCATTTAGCTGTCACAGGATGCCAGTGGTGCCTTGTTACAAGAGCAATGTCAAGCAATGTCTTGCAGGGGGAGTTCTGGAATATTTTCCTGGCTCTGGGCAGTCCAATCAATATTTATCAACGTGAACTAGTTTCCCAAAGCTAGAATAGCCCGAATTGTCCGAGGACAAATGCAGTGACAACATTTTCATGTCTAGACAGTCATTGGTTTGACTCTTTGAGTTTGCACATTTTTGTTTTTGCTTGAAATAAATGGGAAGATTTCAAATATTTAACTGCAGTTGCAAAAACTATTTAATAGGAAATTAAAAACCTGTCTCATAATTACACTTTTTTAAAATATAAATCCCATTGTTATTGTTGGAGATTTAATTATGAAATTGTTATATATCATTTTCTTTAATAATGGCAATAAAATACATTTGTGTCCATCCTCTCTGGGTGTTAATTGTTAACCGCAGCCATGGGCAGAGAGTTCCACCATCTGTCGAGGAACATAAACTTTAAATTGACTTAAAGTTTAAATAACATTAACACTCACTTATCAGTCATCTTCACCATCTGCGACTCTTGGATGATGGGTAGATTGGGGAAGATGGAGGAAAAGAGGAATGCATCACAACTTAAAAACACGTGCTCATCTGTCCCTTAGGGACTGCACATGTCCAAACCCCAAATGCTCTAGTCATTCCAGCAGCATCCCCCGTCTTCTTTTCCTCAGCTCGGGCTGCTCGCTACGCCACATCTCCTCAGTCAGATGGAGAGGGAAGGCTCTAAGGCAAGGCCTCTGGAGGAGGGGTCCTGCAGGCCCAGATGGCTGGCTCTCAGACCACAAACAACTCAAACAGAACGAGAGCTGTATGCAGCGACTTCTCATACACTTATATTATTTTACTTTAGATATGAGTTGTTGCAGTTGTCATCAATCAATCAAATAAACACAATTTTATATGTAAAATGTATTCATATCATATTCACAAATCGCCATGATTAGGATAGAATTGAGTTCAGTTGATCAAGGGTGATCGGAGAAAAGCTGTCTAAATGATCTATAGGATTCTCAGCTGTTCCTGAGATTTCTGTGCTTGATGATGATTAGCATCAACTGAGGGCAGGAGATGGTATATTTTATCTCAAATTATATCGTTAAAGAAGCACATAAAGACATCGCTATTCAATGGAGCTGTGACTCTCTCAGCCTGGCTACAGTGCTGAAGATAAACCTGGGGTTGTTTTTATTTTCTTCTATTAATGTTGAATAATAGGCAGCTGTTGTTTTGTGGAGGGCTTTCTTATTTAATTTAGGACTATCTTTCCAGGACGGGTAATTTTCAACACAAATCACTCGTGCGCCACTTCCTTTCTAGTTTTCTTAAAGCTTGTTTTAATTTGTGTGTTGGAATTATACCAGGGAGCTAATCTACTATTTTTTACACACTTCTTTTTTAGAGGTGCTATGAAGTCTATTGTTAATCTTAGTGATCTACATCGACAAGATGGTCAATCTCAGTGGATCTAGGGTTTTTACAAAATCTGTCAGTTATATTGAGGGATGCTACTGAGTTAAATTGGAACTGTTTCCTTAAATTTAGGTACAGCACTATCAGATAGACAGCTTTTCATGATCATTTAAGTCACTGACTAACTGTGATCTGATTGATGGTGAACTTACTGGTGTTGTTGAATGTTATTCTTCACTTTATGGCCATATACAGGTGATAATTAAAGGTTATTGAGGGCCTTGTGAAGGTAGCATTATAATAATATGGTCGCCGTGACAATAACCAGATGTGTTTCATTAATGCAAGCCAGACACTAACCCGTCCATCCGTCCTCTGTTAAAAGTAGTTGAGTTTAGATCCCTTCCCAACTTGGGGGGGGGGGACTGGCACATGGAATAAAGTGATGGAGGAATTCCTTTCCGATGTTAATCTTGCATGAATCCCCTCCTCGTCTGTACTTTGTCGTGTCATATCAGAGAACACAAGGAACATCATCTTAAGTAACAACGTGTGCTACTGCCACAGGCCGAGGTGAATACTTGTATGGTGGTGTAAACATAGTCGGAAAAGACACGGAGCGGTGGAGCAAATTGCGACCTGTCCGCTGCGCTTCTATCTGGCCATCTGCCTGGATTGAAGATCCAAATATTATGACACTCGATATGACTGAGCATACCTGCTGGTTACATTCTAGCGGATCTGCACAGAGGCAAGGTGGCTTATGTCTGTGTGACACTTCTGTCCTCAAACCCCCCCCCCCCCAGTTGTTTTTTTTCATAACTGTTACCCACAGTCCACTGTTATATAACTGAAAATATAGAGGCTGCTAATGTGCATTTTGCAATCCTATACATCATCGTTTTCCCTCAGACTGAACCACTACTGTTGCTGTGTAGATGGTTGAGGGGCTTGAAGAGATTAACCTGCAAGAAGCTGAGATACATAGATGGATGGAGACATAAAGGGAGGGAGAGAGAGGGTGGGGTGAGAGGGGGGAAGAGAGAGACCCTCATCAGCTGTGTTACAAATGTTTCATATGAGTGTTGGGAAGAGGTTGACAGTGCAGCGATTAACACGCTCCCTCAGCTGGGTGTTCATTTCAGTCTGCACAACCATATCCTCCAGTCTGAACCCTTGGATGAGGGTCACTTGCCAGAGGAGGATTTTTTTTTTCTTCTGCCTCTCTGTTTTTTATACTTCCTTCTCGGGCAGAGGGCTGGTGTAATAGAAAACAGACACAAGGCAGAATGTGAGGCATTCACAGCAGCGAGACCTTGCTTCTTCACAGAGTAAGGAAACAGGATAAAGAAAAGTCTTCTCCTAGAAGTTTTGTCGTTTCTCTTTTTATTTTTATTTTTTTGCCTTTCGTAAGTTATCAATAAGTTGGCAAAGGCCAGGACGTAAGGATGGAGGTGAAATCCATGGATCGGATTGAGGGACTATAGAGAGGGCAGAGGAGATGTTCAGAATGGAACATACATGTGCAGCTTTACCAGGTGGGTTGTGTCACTTACTGACTTCCTTCTAAAGAACCTGTTTGTTTAACTATCCTGTAGATGCACAGCTGTATCAGTCAAACTGTTTGTGTGGTCCACTGTCTGAATGAAACCTGTTGAAATATATGTTCAAATACCTTTGTCTGACAAGATGGAATTCTCTAATGTAAACTACAGCAGATTACAGCTGCATGTGTGGTCATGATGAAATATCTGATCACAAAATAAAGAATCGTCTTAACCGTACAAATGAACTCTTAACTAATATTAAAGTCAGCTAAAATATTGTTTGTCTACTTTACAGCCTCATCATCAAATTTTAGAAGAGATCCTAAATTAGGAATAATTTTATAATCATTATTACTTATTATTATTATTTAATATGTAATTTATATCTTATTATATTTTGTAGTATATGCTTTATTTTCTGAAATATTTAAAAGCCAACAACAAAAGCCCAAAACAAGTCTTTATATAGATTTGTGCAAACATTTAAAAATCCAAACTATGAGCTCAAATTTACTCAGTTCCAGATTTGTTTTTTAAAAGTTGCATTTACATACATGCTCTTAATCTGAAATAATTTCTATCAATCTGTAACTGAATTGAATATTTATACAAGGAAGTCTCCCTTGAATTATAAATCAGACCTGGTTAAAATTGCAGCCCCACAGCTAATTAGAGACAGACTGTTAATCAACATTATAAAGCTGCACAACAGTTTGATAAACACATTAGCATCACTCACATATCTCAAGGTCACCTACATGTCAGTAGTGGTTGTTATTTTACAAATTAGGCTGATGCTATGACACGCAACAAAATCATTTGAACTCCAGTGTAAATCTGTGGCACGACCCTGCTGTCGTGCCATCCTAGGGCAGACATGAGTTGCCCACCATAGGTGCCATCTGTCTCCATGTGGTTGTACTCCTCCCCGGCGTGAGCGGTTCTGGATCTGGAGGAGAGGCGTCGCAGCGGAGCAACAAGCCTCTCTCCTGTTCACTCAGATGGCAGGGGAGATGGCACATCCCACACCGGGGAACACAGTGTCGCAGTCATGAGATCAACATGACCTCTGTGGCTCTGGCCCGTGAATGAAGCGACAGAAGTACGATGCTTCTGTTAAAGTGCCATGAGCAGTATGTTTCTGAAATGACACTCTGAGAGGAATATACTCTTGCTGTATCCATACACCTTATTTGAGTTCAATTCAAATGTCTTTCCTCAAAACACCAAACAATGTCTATTCACAAGACAGCTACTACAAAGCTGGAAATCAAAGGTTTCAAATGCATTTATTTCTTACCTGATTGAGCTTTTGTCAGTTTCATGTTGTGTTTTCTTGTGTTGCGTCCGTTATAAAGTTCCTCTTTTTTCTAGCGACCATTTGCTGTTTTACACACTATTTTAATCAGCTTGAATGAAATGTTGCCTGGCGTGTGTTGGGATGGGGTGACTGAATGACATCACTGCTACAGTGAATCAACTCTAGCCTTTGTCCATAACGCTCGGACATGCAATCAGTTGAAGATGGATGCCTCCTCTACTTCAAGACGTCCTGAGCAGATGAGAATATTTCATGTTTGAGACATTTGCAAACATTTATTAAAACTAAAACAGCAAACTGACAAATTTCTCTGTGTATAAATCATTCACGCTAAGTGATTTGAAATTGAAGAATGAAAGATTAACAGTGATTGTCTTGGTAATTTACTCAGAAATTATAGGGCTGCAATAGATTACAGTTGAAATGGCTCACAGATAAATGAGTGACTATTTTGATGATTGATCACTTTTTTTCAGGAAAATTGCTGTTTTCAATTCTCAAATGTGGCGTTTGTCTTCTGTGTAAATATAATGAATATTTATTTATTTGGTCGATGAGTAGAATCATTTCACTGTGACTGCTAGAACAGTTAACAATGCATTTTGAATTCCTGGCTTGCTCATATTCCCATCATTACTCATAATCTTATTTTTCATTTCTAATCATTTCTTGACAGATTCTAGTTGAAAAGCTTGAAAGACCAACATGAGCTGGAGCTTTCTCACTCGTCTCCTGGAAGAAATCCACAACCACTCCACCTTTGTGGGAAAAGTGTGGCTGACTGTGCTCATCATCTTCCGCATCGTGCTCACAGCAGTCGGAGGGGAGTCCATCTATTCGGACGAGCAGACCAAGTTCACATGCAACACCAAACAACCGGGCTGTGACAACGTATGCTACGATGCTTTTGCTCCCCTCTCGCACGTGCGCTTCTGGGTCTTTCAGATCATCATGATCTCCACTCCCTCCATTATGTACATGGGTTATGCTATTCACAAGATTGCCCGAACTTCAGAGGTGGAGCGGAGGAAGCACCAGAGGCTCTGCAAAAAGCCCCCACCTCATTCCAGATGGAGGGAAAGCCACCACCTGGAGGATGTGTTGGAGCAGGAGGAAGATGACGATGCTGAGCCCATGATCTATGAGGATACTCTGGAGGTGCAGGAGGTCAAACCTGAGCCAGTCAGCAGCAGCAGCAGCAGAAAAGACCAACCAAAACATGATGGCCGCAGAAGAATTATGCAAGAAGGACTGATGAGAATCTATGTTCTTCAGCTTATGTCACGAGCTATTTTTGAAATAGCTTTCCTTGCAGGACAGTATCTCCTCTATGGTTTTCGTGTTAATCCTTCATATGTATGCAGCAGGATTCCCTGTCCGCACAGCGTGGACTGTTTCATCTCGCGGCCCACAGAGAAAACAATCTTCCTCCTCATCATGTATGTGGTAAGCTGTCTTTGTCTAGTGTTAAATGTGTGTGAGATGCTTCACTTGGGAATCGGTACTTTTCGGGATACGCTTCGCATGAAGAGGAATCGGGGTCGACGGACGACCTATGGCTACCCTTTCTCTCGCAACATTCCTGCCTCCCCTCCGGGCTACAACCTAGTGATGAAGACAGACAAACCTGGCAGGGTTCCCAACAGCCTCATCACCCACGAGCAGAACATGGCTAATGTGGCCCAGGAGCAGCAGTGCACCAGCCCAGACGAGAACATCCCCTCTGATCTGGCAAGCCTGCACCGGCACCTACGGGTTGCCCAGGAGCAGCTTGACATGGCCTTTCAGACATATCAAACCAAAAACACCCAGCAAACCTCCAGAACCAGTAGTCCTGTATCTGGGGGAACTATGGCAGAGCAAAACCGCGTCAACACAGTGCAGGAGAAACAAGGGGCAAGGCCAAAATCAGCCACAGAGAAGGCTGCGACTATTGTAAAAAATGGGAAGACCTCTGTCTGGATATAAACATGAATTAAAAAAAGTATATTAATAATAAAAAAAAAACATTTAAGACTCCAGGACTGCACTGGGACACTGAAGGATGTGTGAATGAGTACGAGTTGTGACACGGGACAATTACAACCTAGAATTTCAATCACACTGGCTGAAGGAGTACATTACACAATAGACTTGTAGATTTTGCAAAAGAAAAAAAAGAAAATACACAGGAAGGAATTATCAAATGCAGACTCATGAAACCTCTCTGTTAGTATAGTGTCTCATTTCGTGCTTGCCATAGCTTTCAGACTTATTTAGTTACGGTAACATCTTTAATTCCAGCTAAAATTTCAAAGTAAATTGTATATTACATAGTATATTATCTGATCTACCCTTGACTGCTGCTTAACTGGATTTATTTGAAGAAATTTAACGTTGGAAGTGTGTACCCTTGTACCCTAAGCCCAAATTTGAAAATGTAGAACAAGACACTGTATCAATGCACAATGTGTCATTCCTGAAGCGTGATGATTGTTGTTGGAAAGATACATGATGAACATTTGGGGAGTTATGTTTGGACGAGTGTCGCTGGAAGAAGATTAGAGGTGGAATATTTTGCCGAAAGATGGAATATTTATGATAAGGGTGATAGAATAGGGCTGTGTGACAGGAGGCTCGCCTGGTAAACATCCGCTCAGTGTGATGATCTTCAGTCGTTGCGTACAAAGCCTTTATCTATTCCATGTTTTCATATTTGTTCTTCTGTCACTGAAGAGTATTCTTCTCAAACTGGTTTTTAAGTAATATTTCCCCTTGCCTTCACTCTTGTCATACTTACATACACACACATACAAAGTGCCTCAGAATTTTAAAGACTGTTCTGGTATTTTACTCATAAAGAAATAAAAGTATTTGAAACCTCTGACTTCTTGCTTCATGGTAGCTGTGTTGTCATGTGATTGAATACTGTATGGTGTGTAAAATTAAAGTGTGAGGTAACAGCAAAAAATGGAGGGATTAAGTTTGATTTCATCATGGGACCGCAATATCTGCACACCAGTTAATGCTCCGACAAACAAACTCAATGTTGTGGTCATAAGAAGGGCCTGCACCTGCAATGGTAAAATACATCATTTAAAGTCGAGCATTAACTGGTGCGCCGACATTCTCATCTGATTTGTGTCACTTCTGTCCTTCACCTTGTGTTTATCAAGTTCAGATGTATGTGCTTTTGTATGATTTGTAAGTTTTATTTCATATCTGGGGAGAGACTGTGGATATTCAGACGAGATCAGACCACTTCATTTTTCTTTTTATATTGCCAACATGTTGATTACTGAGCTACAGAGCTGCTAAATGTTGTGCAGTTGTTTTCCTCCTATTTTACTTTTGTTTCCACTTCCAAGCACAGCCTATGGCTGTGTAGCTAAAGCAAACATTATATTATATTATAATGTACCTGCCACTAACAGAACAGCCTGTGCTTTTCCAAGCTTTGGAGAAGGACATGATGTCAAACTGCACTAACTATGTTTAAAAAATAAATCTAGATTGAATATATTTTTGGTCTTGTATTGTTATGGGGCCTTTTCCAGGAGTTTTGTTAGAAACAGACTTTTAAATATTTTACCTTTTAACTAGGTATGTTGTTGAGTAACTACAGGTGTGTCTCCGTGTTTATTTTTGTACTTTTTCATTTGTGTCAAGCGTTAAGGAGCACTGCATGGTCTGTAGGACATTTTAGTGCATCAGATGTTCCCTATTCAGTGTTTCGCCATTATGATTAACAGGACGTAGTTATCCCTGACTAGCACTGAATTTATTCCTCAGAGCAGAAAACCTACCAGAAGTGGACATTAGTTTAGGAATAGGATTTCCATGCATGCATTTTGAGAATTGATGCTATGTTTGAGAGGTCGAACGGATTCTTTCCTCTGCAATTTTTTTTGTTCTATGCATAAATAAATACAATGTGCTTAATCGCAGCAGAATTTCATAACGTTTCAATGTTTCTCTTACAAAGGCTATGGAAAAAGAATTGCTGTTTCCTCTGCGCTAAATCTTTTTGTTATAAAATAATATAACTAATTAAAATAGGGAAGATTTTGGTGCAACTTTTTGATCACTTCATAAACTTCAATTCAATGATAGATAATGAATCGTTCGTGGATGCTTTAGAGTTTAGTTGTAACCCACTGATAATAGCAATTGTTGGGTTGAGTTTATGAAACATTTAAGGCCATGTGCATATTCTTTTAATAAGCACATCGAATTAATTAGTAATATTTATTACATCAAATTGTGTTTAATCTGTCTTGAAGCGATGAAATGTGATCATTTCGTGTGTGTTTTGTGTTTAATTGGACAGCACCGCAGTTGAGCGGGCACATGCATATTCATGCTTCTTTGTGAGAAACCCTATTGACAGAATGCATATCCTAGCCCTGAACCGTGAACCTCAGAAATTAGGTTTTTCCTCATTGTTCTTTAGGACCAGGTTTTGGTTCCTGTGATGTAGACTGGTCCTGATAGGTCAGTATTTATGCTGAAAAAGGTAAAACAGGTAAACTCTCTCTCTCTCTCTCTC